TCAATCACTTTCCTGGGAACACCGGGGATGTCAGACGGTTGCCACGCAAACACATCGACATTCGCCCGCAGGAAAGCAATGAGCGCGCTTTCCTATTTAGGGCCGAGAGTGGCACTGATGGTGAAGGTACCACCAGTGCCGTCCTCCTTGGAGGACACCTTCTTCGTCTCTGGCGGAGCTGCCATTGTCTTCTTACACTTGCCAGTGGAGCTCGATGGTGCATCCTCGACGGCAGCGCAGCACTCCGAAGAGGTGCGCTTGCCGGAGTGGGCATCATCCATGTCTTCGTCGTCGTCGTTGTCTTCATCCTTGTCGCGGCCGCGGGGAGGTCTGTCTCCTTGCCGCTGCTTGGCCTTGCCACGACGTCCTCCCCGGCCGACGCGCTTCTTGCCGGATTCTCCGGCGCCACCTTGGGTCCTCTCCTTGTCGCGTCGCTCGTATTCAGCTTTTTGCTGCTGGACAAGCTGCTCGACCTTCTTGCAGCTCTGGAGGTCATGGCCCTTGGTGCGGTGGATCTTGCAGTACTGCTTGTCGGTGCTGTCCTGCTTGTCGGTGATCGCCACAGCCTGACAGTTGGTGCATGCGGCAACCTCCTTGCCGGAGCTACCAACATTGGCTTTCTTGGTGCCACCTTCGTTGCCGGACTGCTCAACGACTAGCACATCTTTGCCTTTCTTCTTCCTGTTCCGCCGCCGGTTTTTCTTTGCTGGGGCAGCATCCTCACTGTCAGATCCTTCTGCTCTGATCTTCTCTCCGGGGAGTTTCCTCCCTTCCTCAGCACGTGCACACTTGTCGGCCAGGGCATACAGCTCGCTGACGTCTCTGATTTTGCACATCGCCATCTCCTCCCGCATCCTGTGGTTACGCACGTTCTGATGGAACACGCTGATGACCGCGGCAGGGTGGACATCTGGGATGTTGTGTTGTACACGGCTGAATCTTTGAATGTACTTGCGCAGGGGCTCTCCTTCCTTCTGGGCGAGCAAATGAAGGTCACTTTCTTGGCCATGAGGTTTGTGGCCGCCTGTAAAGGCGCCGACAAACTGATGGCAAAGGTCTGCCCAGGAGGATATGGAGTTGTCTGGCAAGTGCATGAGCCAGGACCTGACGTTGGGCTTGAGCACCAGCGGGAAGTAGTTGGCAATGATCTTGTCGTCCCGTCCACCGGCAGCATGCATCGCGATGGTGTAGATGCTGAGGAACTCCGACGGATGCGACTTGTCGTCGTACTTCTCTGGTACATCTGGCTTGAAATTCTTCATGCTGGGCCACTGGACTTGCCGCAGCTCACGAGTGAACGCAGGGCAACCTACCGCGTACGGCAAGTCGCCTGGTTCCCCTGGCGCATGCATGTCGACAGAGGGCCCAGCGCGCTGGTCTGATTGACGTCGCACTTCTCTTCGGCGCTCGATGCGCGTACGAGCGTCTTCTTGTTGTCGTTCTTGAAGAACTTGGCGCTGATCGCGACAAGCTCGCGGATCTGATGATGCGGTGGAGTCGCTGTCGAGGTGGATCCGGCGAGTCGGCGATCTTGGCCTTCGGGGTGGAGAGTGCACAGAGGCTGCACCCCCACCGGTCTTGTCGCCACCGGCTCGTGCCTGGCTGACTGGCTGCGGCTGCGACGTGCTCGGCTGCCACTGAGTGTCGCCGTTGGCAAAGCCGATGAGACTCTGGATGGTGGCCCTCCAATCGTCGATCTTGTCTGCTGCTGGAGGGTAGTCTAGAAGCAGTTGAGCTCGCGCCAAAGCTTCAACTGCAGTGGCGGGTGGCGGTGGCGAACGGTGCGAGGAGCGGGATATGCTCGGACTTCTAACCATGTTAGAAGGAGCAGTGTCCCGTCCAGGCGACCGTGCCTCGCTCGTGCCAGCATGTTGGCGTGCATGCTGGTCTTGAGCACTTCGGGATCCACCAGCTCGATCTTGGTCCAGCAAACGCATGGTACTGTGAGTACCATGACGCTGCCGGTCCCGCGCCTCCTGAGATGGGCGCGGTGCATGTACGGACGCCGAGGTCTTGGAGTGCGCCCGGTCGTTGTGGGAGCCGGCTACGCCGCCGATGGGTAGCGCAGCCTTGTCCTTGGACCTGGTAGCACCGTGTGCTCCCTCGTCGATGCCCGTTCTTCCGCCGGCGTCTGCCCCATCAGCCGTTTGCTCCGGCGGTGGTGGGTTCGGCGCGGACGGAGCAGCCGCTTCCGAAACCTTCTTCTTCGGCGGCATGTCGATGAAGATGATGAAGATGTCACTCGCGTGAACGCCAGATCTGGTTCACACAACCTCGACGCCCCCTACCTGGCGCGCCAAAGATGTCGGGGGACTAATCCACGAACACCTATGGGACCGGCGGACCGAGTCCCTTTTGGTTCGGCGGGGGCGGAGGTCGTGTAAAGAGCGGATCGAGGCGAAGCACACGAACGGTTTACCCAGGTTCGGGCCGCACGGATGCGTAAAACCCTACTCCTGCTTTGTGGTTTGTATTGAGTTCTTGCTCGGGAGCGTGGAGTGCTACAGTACACACCAGCCGCTAACGAGACCGAGCGTGAGTGTTCTGTGAACTAGCTTTTTTTCTACGTTACGCACGGGCCTCCTTTTATATGCTCAAGGGGTCACCCACAGGTGGCAACGGAGACGAAGGGTAAAAATGGAAAGGTGCTGCGGTAGGTACAGCTCCCTGCTACAGTGTATCATACCTAACCCTGACGGCAGGGGACAAGGGCATTAAATGCCCGTCTGTGTCGCCTAAACAGTGCAAAAGGGACCGTCAGGGACGCCACTGCTCGCCACGATGGCAATCTTGTCAGCGCCGCTCGCCACTGCGCACCGCTGGCTGCATAGCCTCCCGCAACGCACGCCTGGAAGGGGCCCAGAGCGACACGTTGGTGGATGTGCTGGAGCGCGTGCACGAAGTGGTGGCTTGCCGCGGCAAGCGCCTTGCCGCGGTCATTATCTTGTCGCGTCCGGGAGCTTGTCGCTCACCGGGCCTTGCCGGGACGCGAGGCGCGCCGCGGCAAGTTCCTTGAGATGCCTTAGGTGGCCTTCCCGGCAAGCTCCTCTTGCCGGGGTCTTGTCTCCTTAAACGCCATGCCTTGGTTGGCCTTCCCGGCAAGCTCCTCTTGCCGGGGTCTCGATTTGGATACTTTGTTCTTGAATGGCTCCAAAGGAACCACGGAGGACCTTGGCGGTCACCCGGCAAGCCTTGCCGCGGGATGCTGCGACTGCCCGTGCACAAGTTCAGGATACTAGGGTACCCCTACTCTAGTACACCGACACCAACATTTTTAAAATGTTTTGTGAGTTTTTTGCAATATATATTTAAATAAAATATTTGAGAGTATAAACGAAATTGCAAAAATAAAACAAAAAACAAAACAGAAAATGTAAAACGTCAAAAAAAAGACAGAAAAACAGACTGTGACCTCGCTCGCGCGTGGGCTGACCCATATTGGTTGCCCGAGTCGGGAGTTATAGTCGCTGAATGCGAGGAATAGGGGCTCCCGTAAAGAGCGGCAGATAGGACTCGAGTGCCAAAAAACATGAAATATTGGAAAGTTTTGGCTCCAGGGAGCATATGGTCCTGAAAAAACATGTAATTCACAATAATAAATAAATAAATCTGAATTTTCTGTAGATGTTCATGTTCGTGTAGCAAGCCTGCTTGACAATTTTCATGCGAAACAGGATAACGCTTCTTTATTGGTAAAAAACAAAATTAAAAGTAACATTTGGTGTTTGATTTTTTTTGTTTTGTTTTTTGTACAAGTCATAATGCTTAACCATTTCCCCTAAAAATTTGCTGGTAGTATTTGGATGTGATCATGAACACATTTTTTCTTCCCGATTTTTGTGACATTAAAAAAGAACATTTTTCACGCGCAGGAGCATGTGCTCCCAAATGCCAAACTAGATTTCCATAAAATATTGTATTTTTCAATACTCCCTTTTTTTATAATACTTTACTGCCAAACAAAACCTTACTCTACTGGTCACCAGTGTGATCTAAGTTTTTCTTGGTTTTCTGCGTTGACCATGTAATGCTCGTCTGTGTGGACCATCCAAAGACCATTGATTTTCAGCTTTTACCTTCTATTGATTCGATTCCTTCTTTTATTTTATATGTTATTGTTTCTCTCTTTCCATTTTATTTTTTACTTCATGTTTTTCTGTTTCTTTTTTACATATTATTTTTCATTTCCCCCTATGTTTTCTTATTTATTTCCATTTTATTTCTTTGTTCTTGTTTTATTTCTTTATTTGTTTTCTTTTCCTGTTTTTCTTTCCTTTTCCTTTTATTTTATCCATTTCTTTTTTACTTTTTGTTTGCCCTTTTTTAGTTTTATTTAACTACTAACAATGTAAAACCAAATGCATATATATATATATATATATATATATATATATATATATATATATATATATATATATTTCATACTTGAGCGTTTTCATATGCATATGAAACATTTTTTTAATTAACACAATGACCATTTTTAAATTTATGTTCAACACTTTGTTAATACAAGCTGAAATTATTTTAATACATGTTGATTGTTTGTACACTCTTTTGAGATATTTTTAATACACATTGAATATCTTTTCTCATGCATGACGAACATTTTTTCATATACCTGAACCATTTCTGAATGCAGGCTGAACTTGTTTAAATAAATATTGAACATTTTTTAAACTACATGAAAGAATTTCTTAACCCAAAATATTGTTTCCAAGTTTTTTTAGAAAATAAACAAAATAGCAAAAAAGGGTGAACATGTATATATAATGATAAATAAATAGAAAAATACCAAAATAAGAAAAGGCATTTATCACACTTATCGTTCAATTAATTTGACAAAAAATTCTCAATCCATGTCAACGGTACAACCCAACAAAAGTGGGCTTAATGCCATGGCCAACAAGGAAAAGAAGGACACAAATCTTCCATAGAATACATTCCTTCAAATATAAGTAAATCTTAATAGCTAGTAGGAATGACACAGTTACATGAGCCAGTTATCGTCCTTCTAGTGCCGTAAGGCTCACGCCATTGGCAGAGTTTTCCAGGTCTTCTGTCGCATCACTGGTTTCGTAATTTATCTGCGCGAAATACATAGGTTGCCTCGGCGCTGCGCGAGGCATGGCTTCACTGTCGAGCATGGACACAACGGATGACATGTGAGGCCTAGCACCGGAGCTGTCCTGGACACACAAGAGCCCAACATGGATGCACTTGGACACTTCATCAAGCGAGTAGCTCTCCGTGACGGCTGGGTCCACGAAATCCTCCACTTTGCCATCTGCCCACAAGTTCCATGCCTGAAACATAATGGCAAAATTTGTAATTTATATTTGCTAATACTGTATTTCTTGTTGAGTTATTAGAATCTGAAGCATTTTTCATAACACAGTATGTGACACTTACAAATGATATGAGATTTGAAAAGTCCATCACAAGATGATGTGGTGAACTGATCTTTAATCCACTTACAATCTCTAGTAGCAAAATACCAAAGCTGTAGGTGTCCGACTTGACGGAAAAAATGCCCTCCATCGCATACTCAGGTGACATGTACCCGCTGTTTGAAAATTTTGAGCTATTTCAGGCTTATAAATTAAATTTTCACACCAAGGACTAGTTGAAGAAGTACTTACTACGTGCCAACAACTCGTCTGGTACTTTCTTGTTGTTCGTTGCCCCCAAAGATCCTTACCATTCCAAAATCTGATATTTTTGGGTTCATCTCCACGTCTAGCAGGATGTTGCTTGGCTTGAGGTCTCTATGGATTATAGTCGTTCTCGAATCTTGGTGGAGATACATAAGTCCTCTAGCTACCCCTTTGATTATGTTGAACCTCTTTGGCCAATCAAGCATAAACTTCCTTGCAATATCTGCCAAGAACAGGACATGCATTTACATGAGTGCAAGGCATAAGCCGTTCAGACAAGTAAGTTTGCTTGGTCAATTCGAGATTACTTTCGATAGTATGGGATTAGAAGTTTAGAACATACCAAAAAGAAACTGGTCCAGGCTTTTGTTGGGTAAGTATTCATAAATAAGCAACTTCTCATCCTCATGAATACAACAGCTAAGAAGTCTAACTAGATTCTTGTGCTGCAATTTGGCAATAAGAACCACTTCATTTCCATCTTCTAGTACTCCCTTTATCACCTGATCAGAACCCTTGCTAAGCCTTTTAACAGCAACTTCCTTTCCATCTTCTAGTACTCCCTGTGTGATTTCATAATTATTGAAACAGATTTTCCAATGTTGTAATTAATTGACAAAGTCAAAGTTTTAAAACCTTATAGACTTTGCCAAAACCTCCTTTTCCAAGTACGTTTGTGTCATGGAAACTGTTTGTTGCAGCAGCAATGTCTTCGAACATAATAGACTGGAATTCTAAATTTTGATCCCAAACTTCTTGCGAAGTGCTCAGGTGTTTCAGGGCCGGTTTTTTCAGGGTTTCCTTGTTTACTTGTATCCCTGCAGAAATATCAGTACTATCAATACTCGACACTTTTACATGAAAGATCATATCAGAGTAAACTGGAGTCCCTTGTTCTACCTTTTTGCTTGCATATGCAGACGAGATATATGCATGTGAGTGTCAGCAGGAATGTTATAACTGGAAGTGCGATCTTGAATACCACACTGACACCGCTCTTCGTGGTGTTTACTGCAGAACTGTGTTCTGTGAAGGAGATGATAGCATAGATTGAATGAGTATAACATGTGAGAGTATGAATTTATCCTTTTCTCAATGAGTATAACATAGCATCAATTTACTTGAATTCGTATATAATACCAAAGCAGATATTGAAAATCTATCTCAATCCATCAAAGTTTTAAATGACATGCTATATCAGTGCTATAGTGTTTAGTGGGACATCACGCTAACGACGTCGTGTACAACTTAGCGGCTTTAGCGCGCTATAGCGCCATTTAGTACGCTAGTGAGGCTTCCACTATTCCTCATATCCCATTATTTAAAACTTTGATCTCAATATAATTACAGACTTTGTTTCAAAAGTTAAAATTTGCATCCATAGATTCATTATTATTCTCAATCAAAGTAGACAAAGGCATATCATTAGGATCAGTAGGAGCACTCTTATTAGCAAAGAATTACATAAGTCCATCCATCTTTCCACTCAAAACATTAATCTCTTCAATTGCATGCACTTTTTACTAGTAGATCTTTTAGTGTGCCATTGAGAATAATTAACCATAATATTATCTAGGAGTTTGGTAGCTTCTCCTAAAGTGATTTTCATAAAAGTGCCTCCTGCGGCCGAATCTAAAAGATTTCTAGAAGCAAAATTCAATCCGGCATAAAAATTATGTATAATCATCCATAAATTCAAACCATGTGTAGGGCAATTACGTATCATTACTTTCATCCTCTCCCAAGATTGTGCAAAATGTTCATGATCAAGTTGCTTAAAATTCATAATATCGTTTCTAAGAGAGATAATCTTAGCGGGAGGAAAATACTTAGAGATAAAAGCATCTTTGCACTTATTCCATGAATCAATACTATTTTTAGGCAAAGACAAAAACCAAGCTTTAGCACGATCTCTAAGCGAAAATGGAAATAGCTTAAGTTTAACAATAGCATTATCCACATCTTTCTTCTTTTGCATATCACACAAATCAACAAAGTTGTTTAGATGGGTAGCGGCAACTTCACTAGGAAGGCCAGAAAACGGATTTTTCATGACAAGATTCAGTAAAGCAGTATTAATTTCACAAGATTCAGCATCGGTAAGAGGAGCAATCGGAGTGCTAATAAAATCATTATTGTTGGTATTGGCAAATTCACACAATTTAATATTATCATGAGCCATCGTGACAAGCGAGCAATCCAACACACAAGCAAACAAGAAACATGCAAAGAGGCAAATAGAAAAAGAGAAGGGGAACATAAAAAGAGGGCGAATAAAACGGCAAGGGTGAAGTGGGGGAGAGGAAAACGAGAGACAAATGGCAAATAATGTAATGCGAAGGATAAGAGTTGTGTTGGGTACTTGGTATGTCTTGACTTGGCATAGATCTCCCCGGCAACGATGCCAGAAATCCTTCTTGCTACCTCTTGAGCAGTGCGTTGGTTTTCTCTTGAAGAGAAAGGATGATGCAGTAAAGCAACGTTCTCAGTTTTTGAGAACTAAGGTATCAATCCAGTAGGAGACCACGCGCGACTCACCTCGTACCTACACAAACAAATAAGAACCTCGCAACCAACACTATAAAGGGGTTGTCAATCCCTTCACGGCCACTTGCAAGAGTGAGATCTGATAGAGATAATAATAATAATAATAATAAGATAAATATATTTGGTATTTTTATGATAAAGATTGAAACTAAAGATTGCAAAATAAAATAGATTGGAAACTTGTATGATGGAAAATAGACCCAGGGGCCATAGGTTTCACTAGTGGCTTCTCTCAAGATAGCATAAGTATTACGGTGGGTGAACAAATTACTGTCGAGCAATTGATAGAAAAGCGAATAATTATGACAATATCTAGGCATGATCATGTATATAGGCATCACGTCCGCGACAAGTAGACCGAAACGATCCTGCATCTACTACTATTACTCCACACATCGACCGCTATCCAGCATGCATCTAGAGTATTAAGTTCATAAGAACAAAGTAACGCCTTAAGCAAGATGACATGATGTAGAGGGATAAACTCATGCAATATGATATAAACCCCATCTTTTTATCCTCGATGGCAACAATACAATATGTGTCGTTTCCCCTACTGTCACTGGGATCGAGCACCGTAAGATTGAACCCAAAGCTAAGAACTTCTCCCATTGCAAGAAAGATCAATCTAGTAGGCCAAACCAAACTGATAATTCGAAGAGACTTGCAAAGATAAACCAATCATACATAAAAGAATTCAGAGAAGAATCAAATGTTGTTCATAGATAATCTGGATCATAAACCCACAATTCATCGGATCTTGACAAACACACCGCAAAAGAAGATTACATCGAATAGATCTCCAAGAGAATCGAGGAGAACTTTATATTAAGATCCAAAGAGAGAGAAGAAGCCACCTAGCTACTAGCTATGGACCCGAAGGTCTGAAGTAAACTACTCACACATCACCGGAGAGGCCATGGAGTTGATGTAGAGGCCCTCCGTGATCAATGCCCCCTCCGACAGAGCTCCGAAAAAGGCCCCAAGATGGGATCTCTCGGGTACAGAAGGTTGCGGCAGTGGAATTAGGTTTTCGTGGTGCTCCTCGATGTTTGCGGGGTACGTGGACTTATATAGGAGGAAGAAGTAGGTCGATGGAGCAACGAGGGGCCCACGAGGGTGAGGGGCGCGCCCAGGGGGGTAGGCGCCTCCTGCCTCGTGGCCTCCTCGATTGTTTCTTGACGCCCACTCCAAGTCTCCTGGATCACGTTTGTTGAGAAAATCACGTTCCCGAAGGTTTCATTCCGTTTGGACTTCGTTTGATATTTCTTTTCTGCGAAACATTGAAATAGGCAAAAAGAACAACAATTTGGGTTGGGCCTCCGGTTAATAGGTTAGTCCCAAAAATGATATAAAGGTGTAAAATAAAGCCCATTAACATCCAAAATAGGTAATATAATAGCATGGAGCAATCAAAAATTATAGATACGTTGGAGATGTATCAGTGTGTCGCCCCAAGGCTAGTGGAGGTCTGGGCGTAATCAATCTCCGCATTCAAGGAAATGATTTGTTGTTAAAATATCTACACAAATTTTACAATGGCTGGGACACACCTTGGGTGCAACTAAGTTGGGAGACATATTACACGGATCAAATCCCATATGCTGCTGATCCCTGCGGATCATTCTGGTGGAGGGATGTGGCCAAGTTAATGCCAACATACAGAGGTATCTTGATGGCAAACTTGGGAAATGGCCGCAACGTTCATGATTGCATTCTCTGTGGCCTGCAAATTGAAGAAAGATTGGAACAACTATTCTTCGACTGCCATTTCAGCTCTGACTACTGGTCCCACCTTGGCCTCTCTTGGCACCCTAGTAACTCAAGATTACAAAACGTTTCTAAGGCAAAGGAAGACTGGAATCGGCCACTCTTTATGGAGCTATTTTTGCTGGCCGCTTGGAGTATATGGAAGGAACACAACAACAAGCATTTCAGGGGGGTCACACCCTCGAAAACATCCTGGCTGGACAGGCTTAAGGCTGACTTCTCCCTTCTCATTCATAGGGTTAGGGAAGAACAAAAGCAATCCATCTCACTCATCCTAGCCTCCTTATAACTTAACTTTCTCATGCCTCCCCCAAAGGGGGATGGATTGTAAA